GCGTAAAACAGCCGGTGCTCGTTGTGAAGACCGGTTCCCTCGCCTATCGGGTTCACAAAGTCCACGCCAGCCATCCAATCGGGTCCCACGTCTGGCAGTTTGCCCAACCATTTAACACAACCAAACTCGGGACCGGTATCTGACAGCCACACCACCCGATCGTTGACTGTGAGCGACGGCGCCCCACATCCCACTCCCACGCATTGCCACAGAGACAGCGGTTTCGATAGGTCTCTGTTGACGGAGTAGTTGTCGGTCCACGAGATGGTCGAGTTGTAGGACACGTTTCGATGGGAACCGCTGTAACCACTGGACGTCCCGAGCGATAGGCAACTGGTGGACAGCGAAGAGTGCGATACGTTATACCGCTTTCGGTGCATGTCTTGCGAAGTGTCACCGCAATTGGTCCCAAATAGGCGTCGCAATTGATTCTCAATGTCACTCAATGTCTTAATCACTGATTAATGGCATAAGAATTCGTGGTACAGTGGTATCCTGGATACTTTTTATCGGACTGTAAAGTTTTTAATGATAATTCATTGAGACTCGCATTTAGCGACATCTCTGGTACTGAATGTATGGAACCGTTAGAGCGATCGTCGCTCAGTCTGTTCCGCGTGACGACCGAACAGCGCCTCTACTCGTGGCCCACGACTCACATCCAGGAAAACCACTCGTCGTTCGTCCCAAGAATTCACTGTCAATTAGATCCCGGGGTTGAGTGTCCGGACCGTGTGGACAGGCACTCACAAGTCAGTGTATGAATCAAAGTATGAATTATTATTAAATGTTTGTAGAATTGATTGAATCCTATATTTGTATTGAAATTGTTTTATAAATCAATTTTAAAAATAATTTAATTTAATTTGTTTTAATAGACATAAAGAATATTCTGTAATACTGTATATACTATTGTCGACATTATAGACTATTTAATAGTGTTTTATAGATAGACTATACAGAATATTTTGGTAGTACTTATATAACTTAGTTATATAGCATTTAAATTCTGGTCTACAAAGTGTTAAGCAAAATTAATTTTTTAAAATTAATATAAATTTATTTAAATAGTATTTATAAATTAAAAGTTAACTTATTATAAACTCAAATAAGATATACAGTATGTTTGAAAAATAAATTATTTTAATTATTAATTGTAAGAAAATCAATAAAATTATATTTCGATTAAAACATCTATTTTAATGCAATGTTTTAATTAATATACAGTACATGACTTAAACAAATACAATTCAATAACCTTTAAAATATGACCTTTATCATCTGGAAATTCCCATTGAAAATGAGATGTACAAAAATTTAATTAGAAATTTAAATAAAATTCTGGTACAATTAATGTGTAATGTGCATGGAAAGTTTTAGAAATGTATACTGTACCTTTAGTCACCTATAAACTTTCCATATAACCTGAAATATACTAAATTTACTTTAAAAATTGAATGAAATCCTGGTATACTTCATTGAATGGAAATTTGTATAAATGTAATTTATAAGTTACGTAATCATATAAAAAGTTTCCTGGACATGAAGTGTACCAGAATTTCATTGACATTTTTAAGTAAATTGTGAACTTACAAGTTAGTCTAACTGTTAGACTCTGACAGATAAACAGTATCTTAATACCAATTCTGTTTATTGTTTTAAGTTTATTAATTTTTTGTCTGAATCAATTTACATTAACTAACCAGAATAATTTTATGGTATGTTTAATAATCTGCTTATAATTGTATATAATTTTTAATTTATTAGTCCATGAATTAAATTTGAAAATTAATGCCAAAGGTTTTCGCAACTTTTTAATAATTAATATTTATTTTAAAAATCAATTTAATTTACACCAAAGACTAGTCAATATGTTTTAAACACTAAAATATATACACAGAGAAAATGAGTTCGTATTAAATATGAAAAAACATAATATAGTAATAAATTTAATAAATTTATAAAATCTCGTAATAATTGTCTAGAAATGTGTTCAAAAGACTCCGAAACACAAGTATTTCACGAATTGTATGAATCGATCACAACGTATGAGGAGATGAATGGGTTTTTAGGCCAAAACGAGGGGCTCGTCGTCTGAAAAGCCGCGAAACACCGGCGACTCGTCCTCCTCTTCTGTAAGTCATATAAAAATTAGATAATAGTCGACACAATCAACAGCTAGACAATGAGTGAAAGGCATACCTAAGCCGTCATTAGTGGTGAAAGTGGCGGAACCCGAGCGGGTGTTGTAGTGACTGCTGGCGAACGACAGGAAACTTCGCTGAAGGCGTCGGTGTCTCATCACAAACACAGTCAACGCTACCGTCAGCGCCACCACAATAACGCCGATCCCTATCACCACTCCTATGGCACTCTTCTTCTCGATTATCACCGAACCTTCAAATGGGAAATGGGTTTCGATTCGCAAATTAATTCAAATACACAACTAATGAGACAATCAATTGATGGCATACTTGAGGCCAGACTATTGCCAATGATAATGGTGTCGGAAACGGGTCCCGAGTAGTCGTGTTCGTCGACCAGAGCCACAGCGATGTAGTAATAGACCCCATGGTGTGCGGGGAAACTGAGTGNCCACAGAGACAGCGGTTTCGATAGGTCTCTGTTGACGGAGTAGTTGTCGGTCCACGAGATGGTCGAGTTGTAGGACACGTCGCGATGGGAACCGCTGTAACCACTGGACGTCTCGAGCGATAGGCAACTCGTGGACAGCGAAGAGTGCGATACGTTATACCGCTTTCGGTGCATGTCTTGCGAAGTGTCACCGCAATTGGTCCCAAATAGGCGTCGCAATTGATTCTCAATGTCACTCAATGTCTTAATCACTGATTAATCGCATAAGAATTGGTGGTAAAGTGGTATCCTGGATACTTTTTAATTTATTGGACTGTAAAGTTTTTAATGATAGCATTTAGCGACATCTCTGGTACTGAATGCGAGTATATGTCTGAAACCGTTAGAGCCATACAAATAGCTTGTATATACTTATGTAATGGGTATGGGTTGCAAGTGTACTATTGGCTGGTAATGGCATCTCATTGATAGCTAATAAGCAGTTACTGAATGAGTCATCAGGGGTTCGCTGCAATTGGTAATACAGTCACAGTGTATGTGTAGGGTATTGGCTCGTATTGCACTGAATAGGCAAATGGCAGTCAAATGTTGACTAACAGTAATCATTGCAAACAAACACTGATTGCTATTAATTGGCGTTTCATTTGAGGCAATAAATGTAACCATCGTTTGGATCAGTGAGAGATTCAAAGATATATCGGACACAACTGCCGCGAAACGAGTGAGGATTAGGGCAAACGAGAGATCTGTTGGCCACCACTCGACACCCAAATACGGATCGCATTGTCACCCAATCCGGTACCGACTTCTTCTGGTGGGACACGGATTCTGTGAGTCATCAACGCGTTTGCCATTCACTGGTCGCCACCGTTGGCCGCGTGAAGACACACATCGGCACCGGAAATGTTAGTCACAGAACCGGTTCAAGTGAGTCACTCA